AAACCAGAATATTTTGAAAGAAACTATTTACTAAAGGATTAATATAAAGGTAACTTTTTTTTTTATTTCTTATATTTGAATTTTATATAGAACAATACAAACGAGAAAGATCAGTATTGTAATCACCTATATAGCGAATGATATATTTGATTGGTTTTATAATGAAAAAAAAAAAAAAATTAATTTAATATTTCAGACAATGATGACTACCATTTCGAATAATGAACATTGGAATAATATTTCAGTCAATCAATCGTTTGATATTGATGATTTATTCTCTTCATCTTTTAATTTTATTCATCAAAATGAATATGATAATGATTTTATATCAATAAAAAATGATAATAAAGAAATAGTATTATCATTTGAAGTAAACATTTTTGAAATTATATCTATTTAATATTTTTTTGTTTTTCTTTAGGATAATCAAGAATACTCACAAATATTACCAAATAATAATTCAATACAAGAATCTCAACTATTAAATCTCGAATGTCGTGTTTGTGGTGCTTCAGCTCAAGGTTATAATTTTGATCAAATCACTTGTAACTCATGTAAAGCATTTTTTCGTCGAAATGCATTACGAGATATGGTAATAATCTATTAGTTAAAATTGAATAATTAATCTAGAATAGTATAAAATATTTCAAAGTACATAGGAAAGAAAATTTGTAATTATCTTTTCTTCCTATCAAAATGATTCATCATATGTCACCATTCGATAATTTATCATACGTTTCCCGTCTTCACCGTTAAAAGCTTTACGTAAGATTCTAGAAAACACTGCAAGCTATCTCTAGTGAATATTCTGAATTCAAGGTATCCGTATACTGTGTCAGTTCTCAGCAGGATATCCTATGACATATTGATAACAGAGTATCCTGTTGAGAATAGACGTGTTTCATTCCAAAGCTGGTCTAGCCTAACTTTTTCTGGTCTTGACCAAATGTAACGCTATTTGGAACTTAAGTATTTCAGACCACGCTCTTTCTTTTATCTAGCGAGAATTTTTCTTCAAAGTGCTTGAAAGTAGATTTTCTAGAAAACCTTGGTTTTTGGGCCAATGGTCGCAGAATTTTTTCTGATCGAGTTATATCAATTTTAGTGAAGGGCAAAATCTTCTGAGGAAAAACGGCTTTTGTCCTTCACTAAAATTGATGTAACTCGACCAAAAAATGTTGCAGAGAGCTCGGAGACATCGCATTTTGTGGATAATTGGTTGTTTTATCATTATAGGCTGTTAAAACAGCAAAACTTCCGCGACCATTGGTCTAAAAACCAAGATTTTATGGAAAACCTACTTTCGAGCATTTTAGACTAAAGAAAGAGCGTGGTTTGAAACACTTAAGCTCCAGATAACGTCAAAATCAGATGGACCCTTATTGTGTTAGGTTTCTGATGGAACACGCCTATTGTCTCTGTACGTAACATCGAGAGAAAAACAGCGGACTTCAAGAGACTTCAGCATGACATCTGATGCAAGAGTCATGAGAAAAATGTGGACTCCTATGTCTTTTCAATAGAAATTTACTGAAAGAAAAATTTTTTCCTTTTTTCGAATCATATAAAACATATTTTTTATCATCTGTTCATGAACGAAATTATATTACAGGATAGACAAGCACTCTTAAAACAAACACGAAATTTTTCCGAGATTCAACAAAAACAGACGAAATATTGATCCCTGTATATCTTTTTTGATAAACACGTTCTGAAAAGAATATTTTTTCATTAGTCGATAGAAAATTTCCCCCTCTTTCGAACATTATATCATTTATATTTTTCATGGATTCGTAAATAAAATGAGAAACGTTCGCACAATAAATCTGTGATGTTTCGATCAGCTCATATAACAATCGCAAATTTATTGCATGAATGTTTCTCTTTTTCTCTCCTTATTTGAATTAAGAGTATATGACAAATATAAATGATATAATGCTTGAAAGAGAAGAAAATTCTTATTGACTGATGAAAAAATACTTCTTTCAGAAATTGTCTATTTAAAGAAGTATAATGGTTCATATATTGTGTTGTAATTTATAGGAAAAAAGTGCAGACTCATTTTGAGGATACCTCTCTTGGGGTTTTCCATCGTTTTGTTTATGGACATGCGATAAAAATAAGTTATACATGCTTTGAAAGAGGGAAAAATTCTGTCTATTTTCTTTCAGTATCCTTCTATTGAAGAGATATATCAGTCG